TAAAATAAAGGTATTGTGTCCATTAAAGAAATAAAAAGATGTAGGCCGTGGGTTTGTCATATTTAGCCCCTATGGCACTAAGGTATATTCCTTCTAAGTTTTTGAGAGTTGTATTAATAAAAGGATGTTGAATTTTATGATCTTCCTTTTTGTGTCTGTTGAGATATGCATATTGTTTTGTGGGGGTTTTTTTGCTACCCCCAAGTCTCCTCTCTGCCCCTCCCTCCCCTTTGCCCAAAGTTCCTTCATTCTTCCCATGCCCACCCACACCCTGCCCCGTTATGGATGAGCATTTCCTTATCAGAGAGAACATTCAGTCTTTGGGTTTTGGGGGTTGGCTTACTTCGATTAGCATGATATTCTCCAACTCTATCCATTTACTTGCAAATGCCATAATTTTATTCTCTTTTAATGCTGAGAATGTTCCATTGTGTATGTATACCACAGTTTCTTTATCCATTCATCTATTGAAGGGCATCTAAGTTGCTTCCATAGTTTAGCTACTGTGAATTGAGCTGCTATAAATGTTATGTGGCTGCATCACTATAGTATGCTCATTTTAAGTCCTTTGGATATAGACCCAGGAGTGGTATAGATAGCTTGGCCAAATGGTGGTTCCATTCCCAGTTTTTTAAGGAACCTCCTTACTGCTTTCCAGAGTGGTTACACCAATTTGCAGTGCCACCAGCAACGTATGAGTGTACCTTTTCCCTCACATCCTTGCCAACACTTATTGTTGCTTGTGCATATAGTTTTAATTCTCCATTCTGTTGATATGATGAATTACATTTATGGATTTGCATATATTGAGCCAGTGTTGCATCCTTGGGATAAGTCACTTATGATCACGGTGTATGATCTTGTGTCCTCTTTAATTTTATATGTTAACATTTTGTTGAGAATTGCATTCATGTTCATCTCCTTGGATTATTGGTCTTTAGTTTTGTTTTTTGTTGTTGTTGTTGTTTGTTTATTTTTGTTGTGTCTTTTGATATCAAGGGTAATGCTGTTCTAATTTATTGAGTTTGGAGGGTTCCCTCCCTTTCAAGACTTGGGAATAACTTTAGAATTCATGTTAGTTCTTCTTTAAAAGTTTACACAATTTACCAGTGAAGCTCTCCAGTCCTTCCTGGGCTTTACTTTGTCGGGAGCTTTTTCATTCGAGATTTAGTCTCATTGTGAATTATTAGTCTGTTCAGATTTTGTATGTCTTCGTGGTTCAATTTTGGTAGGTTGTATGTCCAGCAATTTATCCATATTTTCCAGGTTTTCAATTGGTGTATAGTTGCTAATAGTCCTTTGTGTTTCTGTGATTTCACTTTAAATGTGTTCTTTGTCATGTCTATTGTAATTTATTTGAATCTTCTTTCTTCCTTGGTTAGCTTTGCTAAAAATTTGTCAGTTTCATTTATCTTAAAAAAGAAAAGAAAAACTTTGTTTTATTGGTCCTTTGTATTCTTTTTTTGTTTGTTTTGTTTTCAGTCTCAATTTTTTTTTATTTTTGCTCACACTTTTCTTCCTACTTAATTTGAATTTGGTTTGTTTTTCCTTTTCTGATTCCTTGCATTGCAACACTAGGTTGTTTATTTGAAATTTTTGTTTTGTTTTGTATGGATGTAGGTATTTATTGCTGTAAACTTCCCCTTTAGTGGCATTTTTGCTCCATAGTATTGATTTTGTACCCATAGGTTTTGGCTACTGTGTTTTTCAAATTCATGTATCTCAATAAATTCTAAAATTTGCATTTTAATTTTTTTCTTACCAATCAGTCATTTAAAGAATATTTAGTTCCACATATTGGTAAAATTTCTAATGTGTATTTTATTGTCAACATCTGGTTTTTTCCATCATAGTCAGAGAAGGACACATAGCATGATTTTAATTTTTTTTTAATTTGTAGAGACTTATTTTGTCTCCTAACATTTGATCTACCCTAGAGAACATTCAATATGCTTATGAGAAAAATTTATATCTTTCAGGCATTGAGTGAGATGCTCTGGAAGTGTCTGTAGGTTCAGTTTGTCTGTGGCCTGGTTTAACACCAGTATTTCTTTGCTCCTTGATTACCCAGACGACCTGACTGTTGAAGTCCCCATGTATACTGTATTAGCATCTGCTTCTCCTTTTAGATCTAGTAATGTGTGCGTTATAAATGATTGCTCCAACATGGGGTGTATGTGTCCTTACAGTTGCTGATTCCTTTATCACTGTGCAGTGCATTCTATAATGCAGATTTGATTTAATATGCTTTGTGTGATGCAAGTATAGGTGTATCTTCTTCCAGGTGGTTCCAATTTGCAGAGCATATCCTTCTCCACCCCTTCACTTTCAGTCCCTGTGCTCTGCCCTCGTGAAGTGATTTTCTTTTAGGCAGTGTATCATTGCATCTAGTTTTCTTTTTATCCCTTCAGTCATCTCTTGGGAAATTTCTTCTTTTTACACATTCAGGGTTATTACTGATATGCACAGACTTACTCCTGTCATTGTTATTTTCTTTCCTGGTTGTTTTGAATATCCGTTTCATTTCTTCCTCTTTGGTTAATTCTCGTTTGGTGATTTCCTGTATTGATAGGGATTTATTCTTTTTCTTTGTCTGCTCTGTACTCTGTGTGTCTTGATGGTAGTTATCATCCTTTCACTTCTAGTGTAGGACTTCTCCTCCCTTAAGCACTTTTGTACATCTGATGGTGAAGAATTCCTTCAACTTTTGCTTGTCTTGGAAAGTCTTTCTTCTTTATTTCTGAAGGATAGCTTTTCTGGGTACATAGTCTTGGCTAGCATTTTTCCCCCTAGAACTTTCAATGTTATCCTGTGAGGTTTCTGTTGAGAATCTACTGCTTCTCTAATGGGGGTCTCTCTTTATTTATTTATTTATTTATTTATTTATTTATTTATTTTTTGTAGGTAACTTGATGTTTTTCTCTTGCAGTTTTCACAGTTCCCTTTGTCTTATAGTTTTGACAGTTTTACTATAACATGACTCAAAGGACCATTTTTGCTAAAATTCATAAGGGAGCTTCCTGGACTGAATGCCCATATGTTTCCCAGATTAAAAAGTTTGATAAGTTGTTTCATTGCATATATTTTTTAAATGTCTGTCTATTCTCTGTCTGGAATACCTATAATGCAAGTTTTTGCTTTCTTTATGATGACCAAAAGTCATTCTTCGTTTTTCTTAACTTTTTCTTTTTAAGATCCAACATGATTATTTTAAAATACCTGTCTTCAAGATCAGAAACTGATTCTTCTTTCTGATCAATTATGCTGTTTAGGCTTTTAGCTGACTTGTTTACTTATGTTTTTCCCTTTCTTCTTTCTAATTTTATTGAGTTTTTTTATCTCCCCTGATTTTTGATTGGTTCTTTTTTATTTCATCTATGTCTTTGTCCAATTTCTTCTACATATCATAACGTGTATTTCTAACTTCTTTGTATTGTCCATCTGTATTCTTCTGTCTCCTCAGTTTTCTTAAAAATCATTCCTTGAATTCTTTCTCCAGCTGTTTAATTCTGCCCCAGTACATTGTTCCAGACCATAATAATGTGAGTGAGATGCTCTCACAAAGTGTTTAGATCAGTCTCATCATTGCACAGCTCCCGAAAGGCTGTGTCATCCCAAAGTGCACCTGACAAACAGCCTGGCACAAATCTTTCACTGTTTTCTGTTAACAGGGCACTGCGTTGCAAAACCTGAGGTAATCTTCAAGCTGGAGCAAGGTGCTGGGCCGTGGACAGTAGGCGAAGCCTCACACCAGTGCCTCCAAGGTCAGTCAGTGTACACTGCGCAGGGAGACCAGAAGGAGAGCCTCACAGACAACAGCCACGTTGAGCTGTTTTCATCTGTGTTTCCTCAGGTCCCAATCCTGAGGAAGCAGGTCTTGTGCTTCAGCCCCTTCCTTTGCACAGTCTCCAAGGAGCGCTCTCTCATGTACACCCATGTTTATGTTCTCATAATGTATACTTCATTAAATTTTCCCAAACCCCCAACCCCCATATGGATCTTGACATTTTTTGATTGGTTACTTTTCAAATTAGTTTCATAGCCTACTAATTCAGACATTTTATTCACATTATTTCTTTAGTACTTGCTAGTTGATCACTTTATAGGCAGTGTTTTTTTAAACTCTGGGGGTATCAACATTAATGAAACAAATGCATCTTCTCTTTACATTTTGTTGAGGAAAAAATATAACACATGTATATAATATTTGGCAGTAAGAGCCACAAAGAATATTTTATTAGGATGAGATAAAGAAAAACATGTTGTTATGATTTTAGAAATGTAAAGAGAAGAAAGTTTTAAGGAAATTGTCATCCCTTGGGCTCATTTTGAGATGATGTTTTCCAAGTTTGGTATATAAAACAGGTAGATGTAAAATCTAGATTTTGAGA